TCAAATCAGTCATTCCTCTGACAAACCCAAATGCAGTAGTTCATTCTATAACTCATTTAAAATGACAAAACAACCAATAATATATTGCCTAATATACTGTGATCTCACAATATAAAGAATTATATATTTAAGCTATACAATACAAATTATGAATTTTAAAATTTTGACAGATACAATTTTGATTACCAAGACATTTTGTACTTTATTATCAGACGTGTCTGCATAATAATTTTTGAACTGTCACTCTGTAACCTTATCACTACCTTATTAATTATAGACACGTACCATGGGAATAACGTACATGTGTTTTATGACTTGATTTACAACTACCGCACACTGTACAAGCCATTCTAATAATAATATATATTGCTGTGGATGCGAAAGGCTACTACAATACTTTGAACAATTTCTATAAATGTCCTTTTCATGGCAATGAGGAGACATGACAAAGTCCCTGTTGGTTCAATAGTTAACACAGCTAAAATGAGACTTGAAAAACATGAAAGAAAAAAAAATTAATATGCATGACCCGAGTGTATAATCAAATGTAGTTAAGAATACAATCTAGTCAAGGCATATGTCAGTCATTCGGACAATATAACTAATCTGCAAAACATTATGGTCCCATTATCGGAATGGCAGAAACGCTTGATTATGATGAATTGTCAGCATAAATATGGCCGCTATTCGGCCATCTTGAATCTGATCATCAAACAAATATATGAACATAATGATGTATTTACATTATTGGTCAAGGGATGTCAGAAAAAATGGCTCCTGAACAAGGTTGACTCGTGTGGCTCACCTAGCAATGAAATTCAATGCTACTAGGGGTTTATATTAACAGAATGTAATTTCCAAGCATGGTGGCTTACTATGATTGATACCTGACAATATGTTACATTACAAGACCTAAAGGCACACATGCACTTACCAACAACAGTCAAGCATATAAACACATCTCCACATCATATCAATGTTCAATGTGTCTGATTGCATAATTAACAGTGCAATTAAAAATTCATCGAAGAACCATGGACATTTAAATGCATAGTGCATGTGACAGTAAATGTTTCACATTACACAATCTGAAATTCACAGGATGTATTCGGATGACCTGCATAAGATATTTTAACTATGGATATTCACTTGCAGTGTAACTTAGTCGTATTCGTAATCTTGTTTTTTTTTGTGGCATGAAACATCAGAAATGTAAAGACAGGATTGATGCACCTTGTATGCTTTCTTTTGTAATCATAATAGTTTTGGAAAACTAAATATTTAAAAGTGATAACAAGTTTAGGGTTTTTACAGTACCCTCCTAATTTTATAGCATTATATCAGTAACAGCATCAGAAGCCAAAGCCACACAAATACCTACAAAGGGATTATAATAGTCATGCATCATAGGAGAATTGCAGCTGACAGCTATAAAACCACAACTTATGGCATTGTCAAATTTTCCAACATAAATTGTATCTGTAAGTAATTTCACCCATACAATTAGCGCGACAGCTGTGAAATTCTTGTTTCTGCTAAAGTCATTTTGTCCGTGATTATCTATAGAAAGAAAAAGTCAAATGACATTACCATAATTTCAAATCCAGGATTATAATTCTTATGTAACTTTTGAAACAAATGTTCAAGCATCAGTAATGTGTCATACATGTAGGTTATACCAATGCAAAGTTTGAATAAAATTGGAAAAGCAAGCCACAGAAATGGGTACGCACAGATTTTTACCCAAAACTGATCATGTCCGCACATTGTCCTTATAGCATCTATGTACAAAGTTTCATTGAAATTTTATAATAAGTAAAAAAATACTCATCATGCAAATTAGGTAATCAATATGCATTAGTGGAACAAACACATGCACACAATATAACTGAAAAAACTCCTATTATGTTCTTCACAAACAAGTAAAAAATGGCATTGTATAGACACATAGAACACAAGACCTGTCTCAGAATATATCGTTAATTTTTAAAATAGGCTCCTGTATTCATGATATGCTGCTTGCTAACCAGTGAAGCCATAATTGGATGTTACATGCCTTGTTGTGATGTTGCATGCCTTGTTGTGATGTTGCATGCCAATAATGGGATGTTGCATGCCAATAATAGGATGTTGCATGCCTTGTTGTGATGCTGCATACCAAAATGGGATGTTGCATGCCAAAATAGGATGTTGCATGCCAAAATAGGATGTTGCATGCCATAATTGGATTTTGCATGCCTTGTTGTAATGTTGCATGCCTTGTTGTGATGTTGCATGCCATAATGGATGCAGCATGCAAAAACGCGACTGAGACCCACAGTCATTAGTGATCTGTACACACTATATTGATATGCTAATTAAATGTACACCTGGTTATGCCAGTACAGTATGCATTGTTATAAAAGAAATGTAATTCAATAAAATGTTGTCAGTATTCTATAAGCCTTGGTCATGTTTGTGTCTTGTCATTGTACGGGTCCACCCCAGAATACCACAATTAGAAGATATAGTTTTCTAATATACATATATGGTAATTGGCGTACATAACCTATCAAACCTGACAAAATAACTATTAGAGTCACGCTCAGGATCAGCAACCAATCACCATTATAGAAAAGCTCGAAATACATTGTAAAGTGAACAATTTGAACACGCAACATAAAATTCAAATAATTAAATGGTAGATATATAGAGCAGGTCTCTATATCCTATTCAAGTTCAAATCAAGTTCATGACCTATGTGGTATTCAATGCCTGTAGACAGACACATTACTTGAGACTCTTGATTTTAATACAAGTATGTAGGTCAAGTTATATTGTACCCCCCCCCCCTAACTACTATGGAAATTGACATGCCTGAGCTAAGACATGTAATAGACAGACTAACAGTGCTGTTCTTTTCATCTACATGTAATGCATGTAATGTTAAGCTTGAACACACACAAATGATCGAAATAATGACCATAATGACCTTGAATGTTTACACTGAAGTTCTACACTACACAATACATACAAGAGGCACACTTTCTTTGCACTGTAAATGTATTTCATGTTTGGGTGAAATATCCACAGAAATGAAAAATGCCACTCAAATGGACACTTTGAAACGTTCCACAATGTTTTTGTTTTTTCAAAATATTTTTGTGCCAGACGACGATTCTGGACATTGAGTGTCACTGTTGTCTCTCCTGACTTTTTCTTTTTTGTCCACAGAAGTCATATTCATGTTCGGGACTACATGACAGGGCTGTGTGGCCATCTCTCTGTCAAATGGCAATTTTAATGTGCTATCCTGACGTCAACCAGGCTCGGTCGCACCTGCGGACCTTTATCAAGGTCCCCCCAAAGTCGCATTCGTTAGTGAATGAATCTCGGCCAGTGGAATTGGCCTTCCCATTGAGTCTCTGGCACACTCACCCAGGGTAGGGGTCGACCCTTTGATATTCAGCCTAAGGTAGGATTTGAACTTGGGTCTACCGATCATAAATCTGAAGCGACAACCACTATGCTACCAGTGACCGGTTTTTAAATGTTTAACAAAAGTAGAATTCATGATAAATTACTACTTTGCTTTAGCTAATTATATATTCATATCCGTTGAGCATGAACAGTGACAGCATTCAAAGAAGCGTAACTCAAACAAACCATGGACCATCTTCATCTAAGCTTCAAACAATGAAAAGAATGACAGAACAAGCAAAGTATACAGAATCCAGACAGTGCCTCCGCCATGTGCTATGGTGTTTCCAAGGCTATGGCCTTGTCATAAATACTCAGTACTACAGTCATCACATAGCATGTGTTATGAAAAATGTATTTTATATGCATTGCTTATGTCACTATTGGTCTCATATTGAGCACAACCCAGCATGATGACTATAGCCCTTTAACAAGTCAAATCATAGACCTGGTTTCTAGCCTGTGACCCAATTTCTGCACTGGTACAGTTACATGTACATGTACACTGCTCTCAATGGTACTCGTTATTATATACAGAAACACAGACTAGAGACACTGGGTAGCAATAGTAATTACGGTAACAGAATTTTGTGTCTTCATTGTGTGCCACCAGCCAATCAATCATAGTCAATTTAGTTATCATTTATAGGGAGTTTTGTATTGCTAAATCACACAGTCATGTTGACGAATGCTGTTTCCCAATTGCATAAGGATCGAGACAAACATCAAATGAATGAACAGACAGAAAAGGATTTTATAAAGAGAAGTAGGATTAATTCCTGTTTCTTTTCTGTTTCTTTTCAATTGAACTTTAATAGTTGGAGACTGTAAAAGTAGAGTAGTATGAAAATAAATCAATCTAAATTTGTTAATGTTGTCTTTACTAAAAATTACATAAATATTAAAAATATTGTCATGAAACAAACACATCTGAGAGAGGTCCACCCAAGGTACATACCGGTATATACAAAGTATCAAAGCAATTGAACTTGCAGTTTTCGAGCAGTCAAAAATGTAAAAATTTTACACTGACACAAAATGACTGACAATCACTGCTATGATCAACTCGACCTGATTTCGTCAACAGCAGAGTTAAAAAAAAATGTCTATAATCACAGCTCTATTAAGTCGTGTTCAGGCTACACTAAGATTTAAGCTAATCTCATATGATTGCACAATTGCGTTCCCGGAGGCCTAAGGAACGCCCAAACCTGTTAAGAATATGGAAATATTTTTAACTATGATTACTCAGTACAGTAACTAGGAAGGAATACATGTTAGTTCAATGGTTATAAAACAATGCTAATTCAGAAAGTGCAGATTACAGAATAACAAAAAGTCATCATCTTCAGTCAATTTTTCCCCCCAAGAATAATGTCTTTGGATGTGCTCACATTGAGTGTCATGTTGGAAATGGCATACCGAAATGAATAGTTATGAATATAGTAGTAAATCTTTCAAATAGACATTGAATACAATGGTGTTTTAGTTGCTTAGCGCAAGCTAAGCGCTCGCATACATGCTTCATTAGCCTATATACAGTGTTAGGGATCTGAAAAATGGATCAGAATTAACCTGTTCTTAGTATTTCATAGCCCATTCATGGGCTAATGTTTTTTCCTTTTAGCCCTGTTTTAAGGAGCAGTGCGTGAACACAACAATTGCTGCTTTAATAAGAGAATTGTGAAGAACAAACACACATTTCTCTATGCCTGTGGCCAAGTTATCAATGTAAACAAGTGTCAACATAAAAGGTCAAGTACCCTATGCAACTAGAAAATACAAGTGCTTTAAGGCTTGTCATTATTACCACTGAACAAACAGGAAAGAGTTCTTGAGACCCCTTTACGTTCTCATCCATTACCTGA